AGCTGGCATTGGAGTAGGGACAACTCCTCGCCCGTGTTATGGATCTCAGTGCGGGCGAGGGCACGGCTGCGCTGATTCAGCCCGGCGACCTGCCTGCCGTGTGTCAGACGCCATCCAAGGAGGAGTGCGAACTGTGCCACCAGATTCTCCTAAAGGATGAAGGGGGCGTGTGCAGCACAGCGGACTGGCATTTGTTCCGCCCGAGGCTTCAGCAGACCCTCTAGGAAGGGTCAGAAAGGCGCTGTACCGCTCACCGCTCCATGCCAAGCGATGCTTGCGAACGGCTGCGGGGTCGCTGCGAGGCACTAGGTGTGGACGCTGCGTGGGCGCTGGCCAGTTTTGAGAAGTCGCCGTATAAGTTCAATTTGCTTCAGTCCCTTGCAGTGAAGATGGGAGACTTGGATTCGGACCTGCCGAACGCACTGTGTCATGGGGCCTCCGCAGGGGTCAGAGCAGCCGTGCGGGCATCAGGCGTGTGGCCTAGATGTGATGCTGCGGATGAAGACGAATTTCTTGATGCTTCACCTGAGTTGCGCCTGCGCGAGCACAATCACATTTCTGCTGTCAGGGATGAGCGAAAGGTCCTTGAGTTGGTGCAGCAGGAGGTGGCCGAAGGCTACATGGAGCACATCCCGGGAGGACGCAGTGAGGTTGATGCGCGCTTCCCTGAAGGTTCGTTGGCCATAGGGAAGCTGGGCCTGGTTTCGCGGCATGGCAAGAAGGATCGCTTAATAGGGGACTCCAAAGCATCGGGAGCCAGTCCAGCATCCAGGTTTGAGGAAAGGGCTGAGGTTCCAAGCCTTTTCCATGTTTCAGAATCTTTGTGTGGTTTGCAGGTTGGGAACACAGCAAAGGGAGGCGCGACTCTAGCGATCCAAGGGCAGAAGACTGGGTGCTCTTCAGTATGGACGTCAAGAACGCGCGCAAGTCCATTCGTGTGGCGCCAGATGACATTGGCTTCGCAGTTTTCCACATTATGAACCAGTGGTTTGTCTACCTCGTCAGCCATTTCGGAGCCAAGTGGTCTGCGTATTGGTGGAGCAGATTAGGAGCCCTCCTCATGCGTGTGTTCCATTTCATTCTGCGTGGATGATTGGTGTGCGTTTATCTTGGAGCAAGCTTCGCTTAGGTCTAAGCCTGGAATATCTTGGCTGGGCGCTCAGTGTGGAGGGCGAGTTCAAGGCGTGCGTCCTGGAATGCAAGCGGAGGAGAACACTGGCAATTTTCAATTGGTGGCTTCTGCGTCCGCGTCGGATCGGCAGGCAGGAGCTGTCTTCCGTTCTTGGGTTGCTTATCTGGGCAACGCAGATCAAGTTGCCCTTGCGCGCATTTCTGGCTCCTCTCTTTACAACATTGCGCCGTCCAACTGGGAAGATGCAACTCCTGCGCACCGGTCAGTCGGCGGAGCTGGCCAGGCTCCTGGACAGAAGCTCGCTGCGTGTGTGTCGTGCAGCCCGGGATTCAGACGTGCAAGCTGGTTGGGTACTGCGAGAAGTTGGGGGCACGCTAGTCAACAAGGACTCCCTTGAGGTAATGCTGCGACAGCCGAAGCTCAAAAACGGCAAATGCTGGGTGCGGTTCTCAGCTTGGGACGCGGTCACCAATCTGGACCCGGCCTGCCTGTCAAGCCTTCGCATTCTGCGGCAGTTCTTCCATCAGACACATCGGCGGCAGGCATAGGTGGTTGGTTCCAGTGTGCTTCTGGCCAGTTGCGTTGGTTTCATGTTGCTATTGCACGCTCAGACATTCCAGATGAGTGGAGATGGCCCCAAACAATGCAAGCGGGCATCAGAGCTTTGGAGCTGCTGGCCCAGTTGGCGCTTGTGGTCGCTCGTGCGAAGACCAGCGGCATGCCCTGTGTGCGCAGAGCCCTGCTCTAGCCGCGTTGGATCTCAACTTGCGCAGGCGTTGCCGTCCAGGAGCTGTTGTCAACGCCCCATAAAAAGCAAATGGCCAAATTGACTCAACTATGTGAGCCTTTGTGGCCAGGTTGCTAGGATACTCCTGCCACGGCCTAAAGATATCCTCCAAGGTAACCTCTACACGATGTTTGGCTGGGAAAGCAGCCTCAAGCACAGGGTCCGCGGCCCGCGATAGGCAGTTCAAGCGACTCAAGAAGTCAGCCTCACCATTGCGTGCGCCGGCCACATGTGAAATAGACAGGTCGCATTTCGCAGGCAGACAAGGCTCAGCGTGACCAACGCACTGCATAAAGGCGGCTTGCTAGCCAAGCCCTTGGACACTGGAGCAACCATTGTTGGGCGCCGCCGTAGCCTTTCCCCGTTTGCTGCGTTGTACTTCATGCCGGGAGTTTCCGACCCGGAAGTGTATCTCATGGCGCACCAAGCATGCCACCTTGCCCGTGCAGCCAAAATCATGCCTGCAGTTGCATCATCAGTTCTGCGCATTGCTGCCAGAGAGGGTCTTCCCCTATCAGTGCATGGTCCAGGAACTGCCCTACAGATGATGTTCGGCCGACTTGGCTGGGTCATTCACCGAGATGGACGCTTTAGGGGCCCCGGTAATATGGGGTTTAATGTGTACACTACATCGCCAAAAGCAATCAAGATGGCAATTCAAGAGGCGTGGGCAATTGAGGTTCAGGGATCGGTTGTAGATAGGTCTGGTTTAGACCTCTTCCCAATCCCCTCCCGCGTAATCACGCAACAACTTTTTTGTCATCTTGACCCTTGGGAGCAAATTATCCTGTCGCGGCATGTTACAGGGGCGTTTATGTCCAACGCAGAAAAGTCGACCTGGTCCCGTGTAGGGACAGCCGAATGCGAGTTGTGTGGACAGATAGACACTAAACATCACCGGCTGTTTACCTGTCCCGCACTAGCAGATGTTAGGACGGACCATCAAGAAATTTTGGCGGCGGTCCAAAAATCTTTCCCATGGTGGACGCACATGTTCGCTGCACATGAACCAGAAGATCTTCCCTTATTTCGGTTAATTTGCCGTAGTCGGAAACTCCCACCATTGTTGCCTAGCCCTTCTGTGCCGGGAAAAATTTTCTTATTTACCGACGGCTCAGCCCGTAACACAACTTGCCCGGCCGCCAGATTAACGTACTGGTCAGTAGTGTGGTGCTATAGCCTAGTCGATCTTGACGAATGGAATCAACTTTCTCTGGCCGATAAGGTTGCGAGCTTTAGGGTTTTAGCGCAAGGGTGTACACCTGACAGCCAGACGGCGCCGAGAGCGGAATTGGCAGCAGCAGTGTGGGCTGCGAATTGGGCAGCCCAAAACCCGCAATCTGAGGCTTTTCTTTTCACAGATTCGCAATTTGTAATCGACCTATGGCAGCACAAACAACTGCAACCAGGGACCTTTGCAAATCTTGCCAATGATGATTTAGCAGCTCAATTGCCGGTGTCCGAGCGGCTGCATCTTAACAAAGTTAAGGCCCATAACCAGCAGGGTTTGGCAGCAGATGCCTCCCCCTACCTGCGCTGGACCGCAATGGGCAACGAAGTTGCAGATTCTGCAGCCAACCAAGCAAGCCAGACGCACCGAACTGAACACAGTCTTTCAGGCCTCGGACAGCATTGCAGAAGATACAAAGCTGCAGTTTGAACACATGCTGGCATGTTCTCGCTACCTTGTTGACCTCAACGTGGTGGAGATGCAGCGAAAGGCGGAACAACAGGTTTCTCTTGTGACAGCCACCTCTTCGGATCAGATCACAGAGGTCATTTGGGACTACTACACCACCTGGGAGGGCATTGATCTGCCAGAAAGTATTTCCCCCAACTTGCCCATCGATGCAGCTAATCGCATCAGTGGGCAGGAGGCAGAGGTTCGCTATGAGCAGCTCTTTCTTGATTGGCTTTCAACTTTGAAATGGCCGAATCGACCACAGCAAGATGAGTTTCCGCTTCAAGTGACGTACATGGAGCTTTTTGCAGGCTTTACTTTCACTGCATGGCAGCTCCCACCACGTGAGGCTTTTGCACCGAACGGCAGCAAGTGGATCCCGTGGGACTCGCCTGACGGATTACAGCAGCCGTCCACGTCGAAACAACTTGTGGGACAGTTTGTTCAGCGTATTCGCCGACTGGAACGCCAGCTAGGCAGAGACCTGCTTCTGGCGGCGGAGGTTTATGGTGTGGCTCACCTGAGTGTCCTAGGAGCTGCCTCTGGTCTGACAGGACTTGATGGGCGTCCGCAACTGGAAGACTTGCATCTCTGGATCCCTGAATTGCTCGTTTGGCTCAGGCAAGATGGTGACTCGACATATGTGCATGACCGTTTGTGTAAGCGACTTACCGCTCATACATGAAACAAGGAAGGTCCAGATACGGGCCCTTCCTTCCGGTTTTCTTGAGTTCTTTGTTTCATCGCAGGCAAACGCCTGCCCAAATGAGCCGGATCCGGGGGCTACTGTCCTGATCATCTAGGCAGTAGTCCCCCCTCATCAAACGGAAAAGGCCGTGGCAGGAGTACGTGTCAGGCGGACCCAAGTGTCTGACCTAATGGTGGCTAGGTTGCCTTGGAGTGTGCTGTATGCTTTGCGCGGTGGCTCTGGTTGTAACAGCCGCAGCAAGGGGTAGTGTAGGCGGCTGGGTACAAGGGACAGTAGGCTTTGTTTGGTGTAGAGGGACTGCTGTCCCTGGAGCCTGAAAGGTTCCTGGCTTTTGATGCCTATTGTCCCAGCGCGCAATAAACAGTGTGTTTGTGAGCGTGTGTGAGATTGTAGAAGCAGCGGGGCTTGTATGGCTCACAATGGGAGGGAGCGTTCAGGCAGATTTGCGAGATCATTGCCGAGCTCCGCTGTTTCAAACACGCGTTGGTCACAGGATAATACAAATCGCCTTTATGGGGAAGCATGTGCTCAGTGATTTGATGATTTCGCGCGGCAGATGTTATACTATTGGAATGGAAGTTTTCCACGCTTCATAGCAGTCGACTGCACTCATTTCACTTCCTTAACGGGGATGCAACCAATTCACAATCCTGCTCAAGCCCAGGCCTTCAAAGCAAGCGTCCTGCCACAGGTACTTGCAGATCGTGTTCGCGGCGCCCTTTTCGGTGCAGCGTTAGGAGATGCAGCCGGGCTCGCGACTGAGTTCCTGTCTGCTGCGCAGGCGAAGGAGTTTTATGGATCGGAGGCAGATTTTCGGCCGGGACGTGCCGTTTTTCCGGATGAGCACCGAATGATGTGGTGTCCTGGAGACTGGACAGACGACACTGACCAGCAGGTGCTGATGATGAGGCAGCTTCACTCGGGAGTCTGGTTGTTGCCACCAAGGTATCTTTAGGACCCTTCCGATTCTTGTGTGTTCATTTTCCAACCAGGACTCCATCCGTGAGGTTCAAAGCAGCCTTAATTTCGAAAACTTTCCCTATCGTGGACAGGTCTCTTCTGCAGTCTGCGGGTCGGGCGGATGCATGTGACTTTGGCTCTCGCCTATTATCCTGGCGGACATCAGGGTTCCCGGAGCTTGGAGATCAGTCCGCAGCAGGTTTGGGACAAACCACAAAGGCTGTTCTCAACGATCCGAACTTTGCCACCTCTCCGCATACAGCTGCTGCTGCCCACTCTGCAAGCATTCCTTCCAACGGTGGTGTTATGAGGACGGGACCACGTGCAATCCGTCTCGAATCAGGTTTCCTTCCTAAATTCCGGCGCCGCTTTCTTTCGCTTGTGCTGTTGTTTCTCACACTCTCTTTCTCTCCCTCCCACTCTCACACTCTCATTCTCTCACTCTCTCACTCTTGATTTTGGTCTTGCTTCCCTGCCACCTGCAGCCCGAATCTGCTTCGAGGACTGCGGTTGCAGGGGTGCCACACTTCTGGTGCGAGGAGACAGTGGCAGCAAATGCCAGGGAGCTTTGCCTGGTGACCCATGCTGAGCCGCGGTGCGTGGCTAGCTGTGTGGTCGTGGCTATCTGCCCCATGGCATTGAAGACCTGTATACTAACTCTCTGCTGGTCTAATTTCTAGGTTTGGTTCTGGCAGCAGAATCTTTGCAAACTGGCAGGCATAAGTCGACTGCTACGGGGAGAGGACACGGAAGACCTGATGCAGTCCGCGGTGCAGCCAGCACTCGTCAGGGCACAGGAATTCCTTGGCGATGCTGGAAGGCAGGAAATGTATCGCCATGCTGAGGCGAGCAGACTACAGGACTTGGCGCTGGATGACCAGAAGACCATTGGGTTCACATTCAAGTGCCTCGGTGCTGGTATTTGGGCACTGAAGCAAGATGGATCCCGCCCTCGTGGGCCAGGTGGCCTCCTCTTCCGCAATGTGCTGAACTTGGTCAGTAGAGCAGTTCGCAAATGTGATGAGAGCGCGGCTTTGTATTACTCCTCATCAGAAGCAGCATAAGCATATGAAGAGCATGTCTCTGGCAGATGAAAGCATTGGGAACCATAATTTGAAGATTCGTGAACGAATGGCTTATTCATATAGTCACACGGAGAGACCTTGCAAGATACAGCTTATGCTGCCCTGACGGGCTTACTAATGTAATGGCTGAAGGCCTATGGTAGCCTCCAAAAACATTTTTCCCAAGTATCAAATACCTTTGTGTCCTGGAGAGGCTACATGTATATTTTGTTTCAGCAGTGCCCAAACTGGCGTGGCGGTTGCCAGCAGCAGTGAAATTTTGCTGGCGTTTCCCTTACGAAAGAATATAGCCTTTATTTGCTTGTCTTTTGGTGTGCAGTAATGTCAACTTGAACAACCTTGCTTTCGCTGAAGCGTATATGTATGATCTCCCGCCGATCTCCCTCAATGGAATGGAGAAGTTTTGTGACCGCATGACCGTTACAAACGCATCCATACCATATGTCCAACTTGCAGCGGTTGCTTGGCTGGGTGGCCCCCTCATCGCCAGAAAGAAGAAGACAATCAAGTGCAGTATCTTTATGGACTTTCGCTATGTGCATTTGGTACTGCAGAGTCAGTGGTAAAGAGTTGTGCATCCATTTCCAGCTGAAGGTGCTGAACGAGCTGATCTTGGCGGGTGGGGATGCGGATACAAATGGCGCCGTGGCGGGCGCATTGCTGGGCTGCCGCCTGGGCTTCAGCCAGCTGCCTTCGGACGCGTAAGGGTCAAACATTTTCGACTTTTCAGAGATGCGGCATAAGTAGTCGCTGTTGTGCATCATTTGCATCCAGACATGCCCCTTGAGGAGTGGATTGCGGGCATGCCGTACAGTTCATGGCTCGAGGCGTATGTGCAGAAGGTCTTGTTCATGATACGACAGAGACCCTCGGTACAGTCTTAACTTATTCCCATGACGCAAAGAGCGTACGGCGCAACATTTGGCAACTGGAGTGTTCAAACAGACGATTTGTTGAGCCGGCGAATGGACGACATGCACTGCGAGTTCTGCATAGACCTGGAGACCAGCATGTGCTCCCAAGCAAGAACCAGGGCACTCGGCTCTGCCGGAGCTTTGCAGTTGGCCTTCGTTGCATCGTCTGGCCTGTGTTCTGCTTGTACATTCCAGGGAAGGAAGTGATACTACCGGGGCATCAGTCTTCAGGTCCTGGTGGGGTGATTGATATGCACGGACCAGGGTAGAAAGATCCGCCTTTGAAAGTAAGGCTATTTTGGGCCAACACTTTTTGGAAGCCCGATGCTATGATGCTATGGTTCGTGCCTGACAATGGCTAAAGCCTTTCAAAAGTAGAACTTGTCGGTGTGAAGATGGTCATTCAGGATCAAGGAAGTTTCGAACAAGGCCCAGCTATTGATGGCAGTGTCCATGTGTGCTGTGCATGTAGATAGGGGTTCCTAGTGTTGGGCTGGTTTCGGCAGAAGCTCACGTCAACCTGTGGTGTGGTGCAGGTTTGAAGCTTAATTTTTCCCGTGGACATCTTCCTCACGGATCCTCGTAATTTTTTGAAACAGTCACACCCAGCAAAAGAGCTTTACACGCTTTTGCGCAATCGTTTGCCAGAAGCCCGTAATAAGGCAGACAGGCACGTGTGCATGTTCTGCGGTAAGCTTCAGAATCTGCCATACCAAGGGCTTGAGACATGTTCCTAAGGCCCACGACTCACCTTTCCAGGTCCCTTTTGGGTCCTCCACTGAGAGTCAAAATGATAACCAACAACAAACCCCAAAAGGAGCTGCCTTGGAGGAGCTTAAACCAACATCAGAATTTCGTTGTTCCTGCCAATGGTTGTTCAGGAAAGATTTTGTCCATGCTGAAGTAGTGATGCAGGCTCCGCAAAGGAAGGCATAGAAAATGGAATTGTCAAGGGGTACCAGAGGAGCTCTGGAACAATCAGCACAGGTTTCTTGCTCTGCAGCCATGTCCATAAGTCAAGCAATGCTCTGAAGCATACTGGAGCAGCGGAAACGCTTAGTAGAGGCATTCAGTAGTCACCGTTATCAAGACGACCTGGACGACAGCTGCAAAGCACAGTGCAAGCAGATCGCAGCATTCGCAGCATAGGGCATGGCACATGGCAGCTCATCCAGGCGCTCTCACACTGTGCTTGGCCCTGCAAGTTTGAAGCATTCTTGTTATATTGCATGTGCGTCATGTGCGCAGTTCTGCGTGCCCCTACACGATCCTGGGCGTCTCCAGGGACTGCAAACCAAGATCGCTGCGAGACTCAACTTGCATTTTCAATGCAAGCAGCACTTGAAAAGGATGCGTCGCAACGAGATATTGAGCGGGCTTGGCGTCAGAAGGCTTCAGCTGTCGATGTTTGCTACTGGAGCTTCCTTGTGCATGCTGTATTGCGAAAGAAGGCCCGTGTTTATCACCCGGACAAGGCCAGCTGTTTGTTGCAAATACGCGTGAGGTGAAGTGTGAGCTTTTTTTGAGGTCCCGGATGCTGACAAGGAAGCGGCGGAGGCCTTTCGTAAATAGTCTCCAGAACTCTGGCCGGAAAGATATCAGCATGACCCTGTGAGGAGAGCTTCAAGCAGCTTGCCGAGGCTAGAGATGTTATTAGTACAAGTCCTTGTACAGGAGCCTTAGCACAGGTAGCCTGACCGTAGGATGTGAGCATAACGGGGGCGCATCGAACAGGCCCACGAGGTTTTGGCAGATCCAGTGCGTCGGAAGCTGTATGACAACTTCGGGATTCAGGAGCCAATTTGTTCAGCCAATGTTCTTTTGCTAGGGTTCAGAAGGAGAAGAATGAGTGAAGAGCGTGAAAAGGGATGTCCTTTATGAAGTGAGCCAATGCCAGGACCCTGCGTTTGCTCGCGAAGCCGACGGAGATGAGGCAATTCCCAGCTGAGGGATCTGCAGCATGCATGGTTCAGAGTCAAGCAATACCTGTTTTTTTTGCAGGACGTTATGCATGCCGCAGATTTTGCCGACTTGGAGGACACTGCATCGTACTAGCATCATCCGGCAACCAGAAACCGAGTGCACAAACATGAATGGATAGAGGCCCTGCAGCCCTCGTGCCTGTCATGATTCAGCCTTTTTCGCGATGAGTGGCAGAGGTTGTCAGATGGTGTTCAGCAGTGGAGGAGATGCTGAACCACCTGAATGAAATGTTTCAGGGAGGCTCGAGAGCAAAATTTGTAGAATTTGCGCTCCAAACATTGCAATTCTTGGATGGGCTAGGATCCGGGCCTGTTGAGCCGGCAGAGGAAAGGCTGGGCTCCGGCCATCGAAAAGCAAGGATTATTCTGTGATGCATCAGGGACCTCTGGGACGTGTGGGAGGGACTCCTTGGCTTCACCCTGCTTAGCCTCGGCGCTGGGGCTGTGGCGGGCCAGAGCTCAAGTAAGGGGTGGTCAAAATCATGGTCCCTTGTTGGATATCCCAATTTGAGGGGCTGTAGTACAACAGGGATCCAAGAAGGGATCATAATTTCGACAACCTACCAAGTGACAGTCTGCCTGACCAAGAGTGAAAGAGCTGAGCTTCTTCTCCAAGGCCTGGTCTGGTTCGCTCGGAGACCACCGCTATCGCTTTGGTTGAACTGGTTCTGGTGGAGGCCTGCGGTTGTTGAGTACAACTTCGATTGTCCTTTACTGAATCTTCAGGTGGCGCTTCCTGCTCTTCGACTTTGGGCTTGGGTAGAGGATAACTCCCCGCCCTGGCAATGATGTGGACGATTTTCCCACTGTTCAGCTGGCAGAGCGGCAATATCTGTGATGGCTTTGTCACGTTTCACTTTGTTGGCCCAGATCGGCGTTTATCTAGATAGCCTTTGAGCCGTGCGGAAATGGTGGGTAGGTCCCCAGCAAGGTTTTGAGACAGTTAGAATGTCTGCTCTCCCGTGCCATCTCCAAAGCGCGGCTGGTGCTAGGCTGCTGGCAGAGCCGCAAAGAACAGCAAGACCATGCCTGCGGAGTTCTGAAGTTCCTGCGTGTGAGATGGACCCATATTTCTGCGCATCCGCTTGAAAGGATTCGGCAAGGCAAGCAGTTCTAGCTTTCTCTAGCTGGCAAGTTGTCCTGGGCCAGGTGACATTGCGCCACTCCATAGGCAGCTGGGCCAGGTGAGCACGGCATGGCTTTGGAATCCATGTGCTGGTGCCATGTCACAATGTCTATACTTGTTGTTCTTGCGTTCGATTGCAATCTGGCTTGGACTCAGCTCGACGATCATCAGCCGCTTTTTTGCTGCTGCACTCGAACGCGCACAGATACAGTCCCGTCGGTTGCGTAGTCTGAGATATAGGCTGAATCTCCAGTGGGCAACAGGACTCTGCAGAAGAGAAATCTCGCTGTGCTGTGTGTGCGCAGCTGACGCTTCCGGCATGGGGCACATTGGCCATGTGATGCGATGTGGCCCGTGCTGTTGTCTCCCCTGTTGCCGGCTCTCTCTCAGCCTCTTGACTCACTGGCACAGCAGCGCTTGTCGACGCCGATGCCTTTCGCTCTGCAGGAATCTTCCAGCCGAGATTTGTTGGAAGGATGGATTTTCTTCGGAGATGTGTTGTGACCAGCCGCGACCTTAGATTTTGGAGCATAGAGGCAGGCATCTCAGCAAGCACGACTTCTTTGTATAGATGCCAAAAAATGTGACAAACGCCGCCATATGCTTCATGCATCTTTGACACATTATGCATCCTGAATCCGCAGCACTATCGCACAACAACAACTTTGACAGGTCCACGCCATACTGTGACATCATGTGGCACCCTCAAAGCTGGAGATCGCCAAAGCCTACAATCCAATTGGCTTAACGAGCCTATACTGGCTCCTCAGATCTAAACGGCCCAGGTTTCCGGCGTTGGCAGATTGAAGATTCTAAACTAACATCACTGAAGCCCATAATCAAATACGATACCTTAAAACTCAAGGGCTCCGGCTCCCACCTCACAGACGGTCACGCTCTCCCGCAGGAAGAGGAGCTGGAAATGCGGCGTACACAGTAGCAGCAGCGCAGTGAACGTGAAGAAGTTGATTTTGAGCTCGGCTGACGAGCCCAACTGTCGCAAGAGAGGAGTTCATGCTAGGCTGCTGGGACTCTGCAAAATCCGGGGGGGCTCGGGCGTCTTTGCAGGAGCTGATGCCAGCAGCAAGGCTTGCTGCTCAAAAGCTGCACAGAGAAAGACTGCCGTGAAATCCGAGCGCGGTGTTGCGATTCAGCCTCAACCCCCGGCAGCTTCACCCCGCAACCGGCCCTTGGCCTGAGCCTGCCCTTTGGGGGCCTTCTTGAGATGTACCCAATTTGTGAATGCTGCTAGCGCGCGCAGAATCGCGCAGAGGTGTTGAAGGGCAGGAACGGGGGTGGGAAGTGGGGGAGGGGTGGGGGTCCCGGCTTTTTTCTTTGAGAGCTGCCGAAACTGGACGCAAACAATTGTCACCCCCAACTCTGGCCTTGTGCCTTGACATGCCTTGACTGAACCAGGACTACTGTCGCTAGCGATATTAGCAGAACATCAGTGATGCAGAAATTTGAGACGGTTGGTAGGCCCTGGCTGTCCCGAAGAAGCTTTACTGGTTGGACGTCAACCAGTTATATCTGTGTCCACAATTGTCCACCAAGCATGCTCACTTCCTGAAGTGTCAAGAGGGCTTGAGGAGGGTGTAAAGTGTAAAGGGGAGGGCTAGGGCGGTGGTGGGGCAGGGTCGGGTGGTGGGTTGGGTTCATGGATGCTACTTGTCAGGTTTCTTTTTGGAAGGAGGTTTTGCACCGCGGAGCCTAAGATCTTGGGTTTGAAGAGCAACGCATTGTCCCTTGTTTCAGGTTTTAGGCCAGAAAAGTTGTGAGTTCAAGTCAAAAGTGTCTCAACATGTCATGCAGGATGGGGGTAGTCTCGAATGCTGAGACGGCGACCCCATAAACCGAGGAGATTTGGGCCAGAGGGAAACCTAGCCTGCTGGGCTGGAGCCGCTTGGCCAAGGCAGCTCCAAGTTTAAGTTTGCAGTCGGTCAATGAACATCAGTAAGGATCTGACCTTCGCGGGCTGCTGCGGAGCTGGAGACAGTTGTGCAAGCGGGGCCTGTGCCGCCAAAGATGCGGAGGCCACCCTAGCTCTATCTACCGCCATGAGCATGCCCTGAGCACGTCAGGCTCCCATCGCCTGGCAGCCATTTGACCAGAGGGATTTGCGTGCCCAGCTCCTTCGCTCATGTGCTAGCCTGTAGTGTTGCGCAAGAAGTTGTTGCTCAGATCTAGCTGTGCAGGCAGCACGTGTTACAACTTTGAAGGTGGCTTGAAAACGGGAAAGGCAAGAATCCAACAGATATCGGTCACATATTCTCCAATGGATTTCCACGAGTTAGTAGCTGTCACAAGCTCCAACTGAGGATTGGCGTTGGCCTCTTCCACACCTATGAGCCGGGAAAGGATTGCTGGACAGGCCTGGCAGTCGTATGTAGTGGCAGTGCTTGGCAGTGCTTTTGCCACGCGACAGATTGTAACAGCTAAAGAAAAGCGAGTGCAACGAAACACCTCCGACGGTGAGAATTCTGGGGCCAGCCAGCAAAACAGTCCAATGAAATTGGAGACGGCTCGCTAGCCGAAGGCGTTGGCAAAGCTCTCGAAACTCACAGTAGACTCTGAAACTATCTCTGGGCCGAATATTTGGTAGACACCTCAGAACTCGGAACCATGCAGACTTGAGTTTTGCACATGCAGTTAGGCGTGAGACTCGCAATGGTACGAACAAACTGACATGCAGAAAAGAATTCCGGTTGCTGGTAAAAGTGAATGGTCTAGCATATGTTACCAGCAGTGCGACGGCAGCAGGCTACGAAAGATGAAAGCAGCAAGAGACGGGCCAAAGCCCAAGCAACGTGATCAAACCATTTCGTACGCTCCCTGCCCCCTCTTTGCGGTTACTTGCAGCCCGGCAGGCTTTGAATCGATCTGAAGGCATTCACAGAGAATGCGAGGTGAAGTAGTAATAAGCGCAGTCATCGTTAATTCACGCCAGCCAGGCATGCTCAGAGGCATCATGTGCAGCTTGCAGTTGCACCTTGATGCGTGAGGTTTGGGTGGCCTTGCCAGCCACAGCATGTGCTGCCCCTTTGCAGCATGTGCTGCCGGTGTTTGCCGAATGATCTGTGTAAAAGATGGAAGAAGGTGGCAGAGATTGTATTGATGTAGCTTGCCGAAACATTTTTGCAAGGTGACATGGCGCTGTCTGGCTACGGCATGGGTTCATGCTGGGACGGCTGGCGTTTCACCTTCGATCGCTGCTGCTTCGTGGGCGAGGCCTGCTGCCAGGTCCGCTTGCAGCAGGGATCTTTTGAACAATTTTGCGGCAAGGCCCCGGCTTTCCACGCTGGCACGAAGCTTCTGCTGCGGCCACCCAAGCCACCAGCAGCGCCTAAGCCGGGGTCCGCAAGCTCTCGGCCTGCAGGCAAGCCTTTGAAGCTGTTCTACAGGTGCCTTCGTTCATTCTTCGCAGCGAGGTATGGAATGTTGGCAGGACGATTTCACCTATGCCTACTGCTGTGCCTCAACGGCGTGATTGGTAGAGCTCTCTTGATGTCTCAAGCCACTGATTCCCAGGTTTGCACAAAGGCACAGACTGTTGGGACGAACGCTTTACACGAGCGGCGTGCTGTGATGGCATCCCTGACCCGCTAGAGGCGTTAGCATGCAAAGAGCAAGCAGACCTTACAGCAAGAGAATGCTGTCAGGCATGGCAGGTGGCAAGCTCGTCAGATCCCCGGGCCACCTGATGCACTTGGCTTTTTTTGGCATGCTTCGCACACTTCAGATTTGGGATGCAAAGGGATGCATGATGCATGCGGAGGTGTCCTGTCTTTTGTACACACGGAACCTGGCACTGGTGCTTCATTTGCAATTAAGCACAGATCTTGTTGCGACGTTGTTGTCTGCCGTTGCACGAATACACTCATCATGTGTGCCAAGGATCTGGAACAGACGCCCAAGCACTGTCCGAGAGAGCGCTTCTTTCTTCTTGCATCATTGGGTCCTCCACTGTTCCGCGGTCGTATGCAGGTGTGTCGCATGAGAGTGCTTGCAAAAGAAGACTTCGTACCTTGGATGTTTCGACCGCACACGGGCAGCACATTCGAGGCTTGGCGAAGATTGGACTGGGACGTTTTGGTTTCAGAAGCCTCGAGGGATTGAGGCCAGGTTGGTGTATTGAACTAGCATCACAAAACATCACAAATGTGTTAGGTTGGGAGACTGGTGTTGGAAAATGTCATCTCTCTGTGAGGCTCAAAACCGAGCTTCTATGCAACGGCTCCAACCACTTCGGCCAAGCAGGAAAGCCTTTCCTGCAAAAGAAGCCCTTTTCCCCAGCTATGACAGGACACACTTCATCGGTGGCCTTTGTGTGCCCATTGGCTGTCCTCTGGAGGACGGGCGTCAGATGGCGTCAGTGTGCCAAGATGTTGGAGTCAGCGAGTTTCCTGTGCAGACCACAGCCGCTTACCTTGCCCCGCGAGTGGTGCCTTGGTGGCGGGCTCCACGTCCAGAACCACAACTGCTAAATGAGCCTGGGGCAAAACACGTGGCATCAATGGCATTGCTGCACTCCAAACCTTGCTCGAACTGTGCTGCATCCCGTGCTGAGGAGACGCACTACTTGCTTCCTCCACCTCTGGCTGTGACGCACAAGGTCTATAAAGCCCGTCACAACCTGACCTGGGCAGCAGCTCGGCCTGGGGGAAAGCATGGGCCTGTTCGAACTTCCACCTTGACATGCCATCACTGTGCAGCTTGAGGCCTGGATCGCACCGCGGCCCGCAGATGCGGATGTTTTCGCAGAAGATCACAAGAGAAGCCTGGCAAGAGAAGTCTGTTCCTAGCCGCCCCATGCTTGTAGAAGTGATTCAAGGCTGGGACTTTGCGATCTTGGAGCAGCTTGCAGAATTAGCTGTTGTGCTTTGGATGTGTGTAGAGTTGAGTTGCTCCTGCTGAGTTTACTGCGCTCATGATGTCCAAGGGTTGCTTACGCTGAGGCATCGAAAACACTCAAGCATGAGCATCTCCCAGATCGTGACTTTGGGCCTGGGGAAGCCTGCCTCAATTCGATTTTGACCTTTCCAAGTGGCTTGGGCTACCTCGACATTTGACTGAGGATGATTGTAGCATCTGCTGCCGGACTCCTCACTCCTCGCCGGTGCCCAGTGGTTCGGTTTCATGTTTCACGGTTGTTGTCAGCTGAGCTTCCCTGTGCACTTCACACCGTTGCAGTGTGAGAAGTTGCCTTTCCCGAAGTCTTTGCATGCTAGGGAAGTTCCGGAGTATCCCTCCTTCCTCGCGCCGCAGTTCCACGTGCCTTGACCTTGGACATGATATGATGTGGTCCGTTTCTGAACGAGTCCAAGTGAGGCTGCGGCTGGGCTTCTCACGAGGGCCGCGGCACCTTGAGGTGGCAAGGTTATGGCTTACAGCAATTGTTGGCGGCTTAGTGCATCTGAGAAGAGAGTGGTATTCTGTTACACTGCTCCAATCTTTACTGAGGTTTTCTTCATTCATGTTCTTGACCATGGCCCTTGGCTTCCAGTCACTCAGGGCATGAGTGGGGCCTGGCTATTCCTTCTGCGCAGCGGCTTGATGCAGTTGATTCGGAGAGATTTGTGAAGGACGTACCCGAGGCGGAAGGTTGAGTCGGGAATGGCACTCGACTCATGGGTTTTAACTTGCTCATAGTTGATATTCGGCAACGGATAACATGAGCTGAGAAAGGGAGGCTGTTCTCCTAGTCAAGTGTTTGGTGTGGCCTTTCAGCACATCCCCAGCCACAAAAAAGAGGAACAAGAAGCAGCATGAAAATCCGCACAAGCATTAACGGGACCTTGCCCAAAATTTCCAAAGTTTCAGCAAGCATAAAGAAGTCTTCGCTTGTCCAAGCAATAAGCAATTGAGCTGATGTCAAAAGTGCACCAGGCATGCATAAGAAGATAGAAGCGGAACAGAGCCGTGCAAGCAACCTGGATGCATGCTTGCTCAGAGGCTACTAGTACAAGAGTCATACGTGCCAGCCTGCATTGCCAAGACAAGGGGCTTGAGTGAGGAGAGTTGCATGCTGACACATGCTACTGCTTTCCTCATTAGTACCTGATGCGGCTAGTACTTTGACATTTCAGGAACTTTTCCTGCATGCTAGGTGGCCTGAACCGGGTGAATGTGGGCTTCGTGGTGCTCATGGTACATCTTAGCATCAGCCGCCGGTCGCTAAAACAGGCGTTGTAGACATCGATGAATCCTGCTGGCGTGATGGTGTACACGTCTTGGCACAGGCAACATCGATCTTTGGCTGGACCAAAGGCATGTTGTACCACGCATTGAAAAGAGACCCGGCTGATTTAATTCAGCCTATGCCAAGAGCACTTTGTCATCTTTGCGGCTCAGGATGGCTCATCATCTCCCCTGTTGTAGCATTCTGGAGCTTCGTCCTTTGGCCCAGCGATATTTTTCACCCTGTGCCTCAAGACTGAGAGCTTTGCTGAGGTTTTTGTGCAGGCGCCCTTTTTGCATGTTCCCATGAACAATATCCTGAAGTCTCAGCCGTGCTGCGCTTAGGCTTGCCCTTGGCATCTCGTGCTCAAATGATCCTAATGTTATGCAAATGCAACTGCCCACGTGACTACACGTATCACGAGAAGCTGAAGCCCATTATGCCATTGCAAGCCATGACAGAGGAACGGCTTTCTAGCCTTGGTGAGCTCTCAAGTAAGGCTGTTCCACTACTACTCTGTGAGCCGAGAACAATGTGTGGGTGACCCAGCAACACTTCCTGCGTGCAGTATTGCTGGAAGCCTTGCGATACATCATGATTCCTGGGCGTTCTTCCGAGGAGCATCCCGGCCAGCTCCTTTCGACGGGTTTGCTCCTTCACGGCCTCCTGTTCGGAGCGCACCTGGCCCACAACCGAAGAGCCACGAGAGCCGATGTTTTTAAAGAGGGCTTTGCCTTTGCTTCGTGTTTGCTCTTCCTAGGCCGTCACCCTGCATGAATGCAGACATCTTTGAGAGCCTTTGCCTGAGTTCAAGAAGCTACCAGCTTTCTTTCCACCTGAGCTGGCTGCTATGACTGATGCAACCAAGCAGCCGAAGGCTTTCACTGGTCCAACTAGCTCCGCAGCATGACTTTGCATGACTTTTCCGCGTATGCGCCCCGTGGTTCGACCACACTATCAGCCTGAGGGCCTTAGCCACTGGAAAAAGCATTTATGTGCAAAAGGCTTTGTGTAAAGCTTCATGGCAAGCCATGCGGGCGCTTTTCCTGCTTGTGCCCGCTTTGGCAAAGCCGCCTGATTGGGCTGTGGGATGGGGCGGTCTGGACCGCAGAAATGCTGATCACATTTGCTCACCGTCGTTTGCACATTCGACTGCGCTGCGGGAGCAGGACCCCGCAAATGCAGATGCTCCAGCGAACCTGCGCCAGGAGCGAGATGAGGCACGGTGAAATGGATTATTTCTGTTGTCTTTTTTGGGCTGAAGTGCGCTCATTGCGCTCCAGGCTCGTGCCCAGCTGGCACGGTGCTTGCAGGGCCAGGAATCAGCACTCCGCAGCCCCAAGTGGCACTCGCCACAGCTCGGGCCTCAAGCTTCGAGAACCCCGTCTTTGGAGAAGACTCAACGCCTGCACCTGACAGCTTGAAAGAAAGCCCGAATCATATTCAAGCCAAGCTGTCAACCTCTGAAATATTACCATGACGAGGGGATGGAAAAGGGATAGCAAGGGCCTGCTTGAACTGCTTGCGTCAGCGGTCTTGAGCATTTTTGCTTCGTTAAACGACTGTCCTTCGCTGTTGGTTGAGGGAGTTGGGAACGCCGTCAATCTCAGCGCATAGTTGGCCGTGAGTTGTAGAGCGTATTTGCCAGTGGTTAGTTCGAGGGAAATGATCAAGAGTAGTCATTCAAAAGTGGCGACAACCCATCGTGTGGTACCAGGATGTACCAGGCAGCTTCAGAAGGATTGCTGGCTTTGGATGGTTTTGCCATGTTTCGCCTATGTTCATGTTTTCTTACAAGCGTATCTGCCTGCTCTTCTTGGAGGTGCCGCGGATGGCATGACTGGAAAGCGTTCTCATCAAGCTGCAAGCATACACATTTTCAACAACCCCGCACAAGGACCTCGCGAACCCTCGCCTTTGCCCTCACTGGCGCATCAGTAGTTCTGTGGGCACCTCAGGCACTGTCAGGCACATGCAACTCAATGTCCTCTGGGCTTCTGGTTCGCTTTGGGTTTCGGGGCGGCCTAGGTTGGCAGCGCTGACCTTGCGCACTTTGTGGCGAAGCCCAGACTCAGACTCTGGAGGCAGTCTCACGGTATGCAACTTGGATGTTCGGCGGCAGATAGAGGCGCCAAACTCCTGAGCGTGGAGCCAGATCTCCGGGCGCCTCTTCGTGGTAGGAGACAGGCGCCTCGTTTGCAGTTCGCTGAGATCTCAAAGTCATCACTGTGATTGGACCCAGGAAGCTCAGCGTTGTCAGTGGGGGTCAAAGTGGTGCCGGAGGTGACAAGCGGTGAAGTGTTTGAATTATTGAAGTTGGAAGATGTTGGATTTCATGATAATTTTTTGGCTCTCAAAAAAGGCCGACGCAGCTCCTCTGCGGCTTGCGCACCCGCTTGGCAGCCTGCCTGGGCAATCCGGGCAGCTGTAGCAGCTGTCTGGGTGCAATGCGTGCGAGGCGCAAAATGATTCTATGCCAGGTGGAATGTAACGGCCCCAAGCTGTTAACAGGTGTGGGCCCCTGGGTAGGCGTTGAGATGAGCTCCATTCGCAAGATTTTCCTGCTGATTGACCTGGGCAGGCTCATTCCAAGGATGCCCGAAACCTGGAAGTTCTTCAAAAACTTCCAGTGTTTTTCAAGGCAGCTGTGGATGCCTGGTCAGGATGCTTGCAACGTGGATGTTGACTGTCGAACTGCTCGAGATTTGAGGGAACAGTAGACACATGATCTCAAGACAAATGGAGCTGAGTTCAGTCGAAGGCAGTAATTTCATCACTAGCGCTTGGAAGCCTGGTTGGAATGAAAAAACGTCAAATCGCAGTGGTGGGACCAGCAAGGCCTGGGGAACCTGCGAGGTGACCGGCAATCAACCCGGACCCACAGGTCAAACTTCCAAAATGACAAGAAACCCGGAGAAAAATCTCATACTTTTGGGTGGTACGTCCTGGCAAGGGGGTTATAGGGGGGTGGGAAACTTGTCCTGGGTATGGGGTCCTTAGATCAAAACGCCCATGGACTCCGGCCTTGGCGGATTGTTGCGACTCAGGCGTCAGACTGAGCTGACTTGTTTCATCTCGCCGCTTAGGTCCATTGACTCCTCATCGACCAGATGAAAAATCGGCCCCGTCATCCTGGGCACCATCTGATGCAGTTATCCCCTGAAACAAACCGCCCTTACCAAATCACCTGTGAGACAAACAGCAACCAGAGATGGAAAAGACTGCACCAAGAATGTTGGTCCCGTTTAGCTTGCCAGATGCAGGCTGTATCAGGGCAAGCGAATGATCCTGTGGGCCCCATGCCGAGAACCGCACCGGAACCCCCCCCTCCCCCCCACCCCCCNNCCCCCTCCCCCACCCAAGCCCGAGCATTCAACACAGTAGAACAGCTTTGATGCATGGTTGGTGGCCACGAAGAACCGTTTCAAACAAAGCCAGCGCCAAGCCTGGCGCAATTGAGAAGCTCTGTATCCAATGAGCAATGCAAATTCGTAGAGGAGACAGTCTGCCAGCATCAAGATGTGGCTTTAGTCCAGCCATGGTTTTTCAACCAGTTTCTCAAAGTCTGCAAGGAACGACCCGCAAGATAATACCAAACGCAGTGGCAAGACAAAGCCAGGACCAGAAGGTAACAAGCACTCTGGGTGTTTAAATGGGCATTGCCACCAAGCACCGGCCGTGCAAGTATCTCCAGGCCTACGTTGTGGGCCTTTTCCCAACCACAGGCGACAGCAAAGTTGTTTGCGGACTGAGTTCAATACTCAATCGCAATGCGCCAAGCTCCAAAACATGCCAGTTGCATCCGCGACTCTTTGCACCTCTTGTCCTGATCAAAGCGTGGCTTGCACCACTGACCAGCCCAAGAACCAAAGTGTCATGGTCACCCGGCTGAAGCAAATGGCGTGGGCCCGTCGGCAACATCCTTATTGACCATGGGAGGCGCGCGCATGGGACCTCGATCAGACTGCCGCCGGTTCATCCATGTTGTGGCCCCATCGCACGAGATCTACCGAAAACTACTCTGACATCCACTTCGCGACTTACAACTGATGGCGAACGTTAAGCTCTGTGACTTTCAATCTACTTGCTGAATATTGCTGATGAAAAGCCGCAGGAGACTCTTGGATGAGTCCAGACAACCACACAAGTAGTGGAAAGGACGTTGGACAACCTAGAAGACCTCAAGGAGGAAGTGGGAGAAGCGTAAATTCTTCAGCAGGAAATAGCAGCTTCAGTTTGCAGCATGGCCAACTGTAAAGCGAGCGTGGCACGGCAAAGGCTGTGCATGGAGGACTGAGACTCAAAAAGCAGATTTTGCCGGCCCGGGCCGTCTGCTACACGCGTTTGGACTTTAAGGTGGGCACAGGTGCAAATCTTTCAATTGCGAAGGCGTTGCTGATCAAGTCAGCTTTAAAGCCATGGTAGACTTGAAGGTTCTGAAAGCAAGGCGACGCTTGTAGACTTAAGTCTGAGAAGCAGGAAGCCGTGAAGCTTGCACAATGATGCACAATGTACAGGTTCGAAGTTGAAAGAGTTTTAGGGTCAGAATGGTTGGGTTTTGGCACAGGCTCGGCCGCCTGGCAATGCACGCGTGCAATAAGTGAACGAGAGGCTGTCCAGAGTTGGCAGCGTTCCTGCATTGCTGGTTCCTGTGAGGCCTGCAGTATGCAGCATGCAAAAAAAGCATCTGTTGTGTGGCTCCGCGCAAAAGCTTGCGAGGGCGCTTGTCTCAAGATGCTCAAGCTGCGCAGCGAAGAAGATGAAGACCTTGAGAGGGTACCAGGGCTGGCACATCTCGATTTAGCACGCGATGCACCGTGACTCTCTGAACACGAGGCTGTGTCAGACAAGTGACAACTGGGATCTGGACGAAGAGCCTGGGCTCATCGGCAGAATGGACAGCAGTTTGAGAGATCATTGGCATAGAATCCAAGAACTCATGCAACGTTGACAGGGTGGATACACCGGTTCTTTGGCGCCAGCGAGCACAGTCTGCACGGCAATCCCTGCAAAAGGCACAAATATAGAGTGGTCGAAGTTGAAGTTTGCAGTCTTTCAAAGGGCTTTCTGCGGGCAATGAAGCGTTGCATGAGGCCCAGGCGCAGCTTGAACGCTGTCTGGCAGATGCCGCGCAACGCGTGGAGGAAAGCCGACGTAAAGCCGAGCTGGCCGAGGCTTGGGAGAGGAGGGCTCTGCCTAAGGCAAATCATCACGAATCTCTAAATCCCTCGTCCAGCTTCAGCAGCTTCAGCAGCTCCAGCGTTGCGCGAGGCTCAGAATGGACGCCTAATCAAGCAGATAGCAGAGCTGACACTTCGCGCGAGCCTTGGCTCTTGCTCACTGCCAAGCCGAACAATCACCTGTGATTTGCTGACGCAGGAGCTGAATCTGCAGAGCAGCTCGCGCGAAAATCACGCAGCGAAGTCGAAGAGCTGAAGGCCATGAGTGTAGTCTGGTCACTCCGCTTCTCGTGATGGATGCTGGCAAGGCCTCCTTCAAAAAAGCAGAAGAGACAGCATCCAAAGCAAGGAGGGGGAGTAGATTTTGACGCAATAGCTAGTGACCCGTTCCAGCATTTCGTTTGAAACTCCTTGACAGGCAGGAGCTGCAAAGTGCACGGCGGCGTGCCGAGGTAGCCGAGACAATTGCTGCTCGTGCCTCACGTGTGCACAAAGACCGGGAGGCCGTGAAGAGCAAAAATCAGACTCCCTTCTTCCTGTTCTGTGGTTGCATCAGGATGACCGCAGCATATCTCGTAGCCGGAAGTTGCTGGATGTGGAGGACCGTGCTTAATTAAGGGTGAAGGGTTTTGGAGTTTTAAGATTCCAGGATTTGGGTTTGTAGGGGTTTAGGTTTATATGGCAGGTTTCAGGGTCAGGTTTTGAGGTTTAGAGTTTTAGGGTTTAGGTTTCTGGGTTTTTGAGTTTCAAGGTTCGGGCTTAGGGTCAGGTTTTTGGTTCTACTTCAGGGTTAGGCGGGTTAGGGTGTAGGTTTATGATTTTAGGTCTCAGCGTCATGATTTTGGTTTTAGGATTTCAAGTTCAGCGTTTCAAGGTTGTTCAGGATTCGAGGATCGGGTTTCAGGGTTGGGGTTGTTGGATTTTAAGCTTTCAGTCGTACGTTTTAGGGCTCATGATTTTGTGTTTATTGCATATGCCGTGGTGCTTTACTGATAATTATGCGGCATAAATTGGGCAAGCAGCTTTCTCTTCACAGGGTGGATCCCAGCCTGGGACTCCGCGAGGGTCGTCACCTTCACCGCGTCCTTCCTCCACGAAGGACGCTGCCTCAGAAGTATTGTCACTTGTACTTTGTTTGTCTCTTCCACTAATCACTAATCACTTTCATGGTGGCCGCTTCCCTTGTTTTCAGGTTCCATCTTCGTTTCACTAGAAAGCATGTGTCTGGAAGCAGCAAAGGCGGCGGCTTCTCCAAGCACCTCCTTGAAGGAGAAGGAGACCGCATGCAGCGTGCTTTTCCGTTAAGCAATGGTTTCATTTTCAGGCTGGATCTCAGCCCGGCACTCCACGACAGTCCGCGCAGGCTGTCATCTCTCCTGCCAGGTTTTTGGAGTTCAGCTGCAGGGCCTGCAGGGCTTTGGTTTCAGGAGCTGCGCGGATCCAAGCACCTGGATCCACCAAGCGCACCGGTGCGGGCAGCGCAAAGGCGACCGACTGCCAAGGCTTTGTCAGATCCACATGTTACTTTGACATGTCTCTGTCTTCAGTATAGACACAATCTCTTTTGTGCCTTTTGTATAGGCGCGGGCGGCCCGAACATCAATGCCTGGAGGCCGCACCTGTTCAGATCTGTTTAAAGCAGTCCGCAAGTTGTCAGGAAGTTCCGCTGGCAGCCTGTCGAACAGCTTGGAAGAAGTCACCAAGGAGATTCAATCAGCCTTCAGGTTTCCAGCTAGCCCCATTTACATTAATGCGGAGGTCAACATGTTGAACATGCTGTTACGAAAGCTTTCACAGAGCCTTGGTTTACGTACGGCCCCGCTGAGGGAAGGGAGGACGCATTGAGGGCAGGGAGTATCTTCTTCCTTTCCTGCTGCAGGAGTTCCGTCGATCAAACTCTGGCCCAGCTGGCAGCCCCCAGGATTCAACTTTTGCAACCTTCTCTCTTTTCTTCCTGTCTTACCTTCGTGCTGGCGCAGGCCCGGGAGGAGAAGACCTCCCACGAGTTCAGCGCCTTGGCTTGAATCATCTTGAATCCTGCTCTCAGCAATTTTGGAGAAGTCAGAGAGTCACACGAGGTTACAACCGCGCTTTAGCAATGTTGAAGTTCGCTGAGACGAGGGCAGGTCACAGCGCTCAGTATGCGTTGTTGTTAAACCATTCTTCGGATTCATTTCTGCAGGCGGCTCCGGAGTGCCGAGCGTGCGGAGCCTTGTTACCCATGGCTTTCTCAAAACCAGTCCAGCCGGTTTGACCAGGCCACAAGTTCCATGCAGAGCCTGCCTGGACGTGTCGAGGAGGCTTTGCAGGCGCCACCAATCTGCAGCTTTCAGAAGAGGCGAACAGACCTGTGTGAGGGCTTGGCTCCTGCGAAGAGTTCAAGGGGCAGTTCTCACCTCAGCATGTGGGAGCCAGCCTTCACAGGCAATGTGTATCAATATGTTTTTTTGGGCATAGGTTCGAGTGGGGTTCAGCGCTTTACGCGCGTACCCCGTCTGTTGCAAGACGAGTGATGGCTCTAATTGGATAAGTCCCGCCATAGTGCGGACTTGATCTGACAAGAATTGTAGCTAGCCTCAGCTGTGCGGGCTTGATCTTGCTGGCGAGCGCTTAGGATTGATCAAGACGGTCAAATCCTCGTTTGAAAGCTTCACTTCCGGTCAAAGACCGGTCCCTGGCATCTCCCATGCAGACGGCAAATAGCCTTTGAGTGAATCGCCCCTGGCAGACTAAAAGCAAGGCAGTTGCACGAGCTTCGGCAAACTTGGTACTATGAAACTTGCTGGATAAGGTTTGTTCCACGTGGACATCGTCGTGTTCGGCTTGCTCTCCGCGCTGGGTGACGAGCTTGGATCCTCTGTCACTCTCTGTTTCTCTCTGCTACTCAAGATGACACTATATGACACTTGGTAGTCTATCAACCAATTGTGGGTGGCCGCGGCCGGTGGAGGTCGGGGTCGTGCTGCAGCAGCAGCACATTTGCTGTGGGTGCTGAGCTTACGCAGCTAATCTGTTTTCCTGCACATTTTGCACATGATATAGCCGTGACTTCGAGGTGCCATCAGTGCTTCTCAGCTACAACGCAGTGCCCATGGCTTGGCCCTCGGTCACATTGAGATTTGCTGCGCAGCTGGTTGGAGGGTTAAGTAGTTAGCGGTAGCGTACGTACGTGAAATTTGCATGAATTTGTCGCAGGTTACTGCTGCAACTGGTCCTGCATCCTCCATGTCACATGTGTGCTGTGCGTGATTGCAGAGCGATTCACCCCTTGCGAGTAGAAAAGAAGAACTGCGACAGGATTTCCGTCATTTTTACATCGAAGCCTCTGGCGCTGGACGCTTGAGTTTCAAAATCAATTCGTTCCTTGAGATGCTTTCGCATGCTGTGTGGGACGCCTGGTTTGGGTGTTTGTTAGCTAGTCAGACTGCGGCGGCCGTTGGATGTTGTGGACACTGCGGGCATGCGATGCGGCCGCAGACGTAAAGGCGCAAAGAAGGATAAGAAGAGGCCACAACTGAGGAGGACACTCTTCCTTTCCAGGCTTTCTCTGTGAGCCAACGACAGGCTATCTGCCAAGCCAACGACCGAGCCAACGGCCAACGCAGCCTTCGGAACGGCACCGCGCAACCCATTTTGCGATGCAAAAGAAGATGCATCTCCAAAAGCTACTGATTCGCTTGAAATTCAGCCAGTTTTCTGTGCAACGTTAGCTACCGTAAGCTACTCTTAGCTACTTGTCCTGTGACCCAGACCACGTTTAATGGAGCTGGTCACCATTTCTGCGGTCTGCTGCGAGGGTCTCAGTACCTTGAAGCTTGCAGTTTTTCATTGGAGATTTTTTGACTTGCTGGTGAAGGCCCGCAGCACTTGCCACACTGGCCATATCCTCTTGGCAACTTGTCTGAACGCGAAGGAGCCCAAGCCAAAGTTCCAGATGCTGCATCATCCAATCAGTTTGCAGGCTGGGTCCCAGCGAGCCCCCACTTTTCTCCCGAGCAGCAACTTCTGTGGCCTTGCGCGTGGCCGCCAGCCTGGCAGCGTGCTTCTGCATCCTGGCACTTTCAGCATGGAAAGTTGGTGCAGCTTCATGGTTTCCTCATTGTAAAGAGATCCGGGAGCCTTTCTTGAGGCATCATTGCAACTGGCTTCCAGGCCGCATCCGAGCATGCTTGCTAGAGAGAGTGTGCACGGTGAACGGACGCCTCACCTGAACGGTCAGTGCAGAGAAGAGCGAAGCTTCTGGCAGTGCAAGGACGCGCTGACCAGCTGCCAGTTTGAATGGCCATTTCCGTGCCTTAATGATGCGGCCAGCTTCTTCAAGGCACTTCATCCGCCCACTCAGGAGTATGTAGCTTGACTGAAGCAACCTTGGTGATGATCCGTTGTAGGGTTTTTCAATGCGCGCATACCCGCAGCTCGTATACGGCTGAGGTGATCCCCTGTCACCTGTACGAGCTTTGCTTTGTGCCTGATGCTTAGCCCGCCCAATCTAATAAGAAAAGCCTTAAAACGTTTGTAGAGCGCTGAGGTTTGGATTCGTAGTCCACTTGAAGCAGGGTTGGCTGATGCATTCACAGCGTCAGGCTTCCCTCCGTTTGTCCTCAGAGGAGTATCCATTTGTGTTTTGCCTTGCAGGAGCATTGGTCCCTCCTCCGCTTCTTCTCAAGGATAAGTCCTGGTTTGTGTTTGTCGCAGGATTCTCAGCTGTGAAGAGCTTGTTTTGCAACTTGTTGCAACCACGCTACGTTCTCAGGAATCTCTTCGTACTCCATTTGGTGGGGGCATATTTACACGATGAACCAGTTGAACTGTCGGCACCTCGCTTGACGTTCGATGTCACACATGCTTCAACATGCAGGAGTCTAAGATGGACTTGCTACTTGCCATCAGTGTCGAAGATCGGTGCGTGTGTCCCGTTCCTGTTGGACTCCTGCAACATTTGCAGGCCAGGGGGTTCGGGTCGGGTCAGACGCTTGGTGTTGCGCATGCGGGCGATACCCGGACAAACGTGCCAAAACGCCGAACGAGCCAGGGTGCGATTATGCAAAGGAAATATTTGGCAGAGAAGGGTGAGCTGAGCCTTGGTTTGTGGTCTTTTTGGGTCTCCGCGCGTGGCCGCGCACGCGTGTTAGCCCCTATATGACATCCACCATGCTGGCGGTAACAATGGTAATTCGGCAGGAAAGTTCTGCAGTTCTGCAGTCAAGCACGTTGGGGCTGTCGCCTGAAGTGGAACTGCACTTCAGGAAAGCAAGGGTTAAGCCAAGGGAGTTCACTTGGCCCGTATCGCAAGGCTGTCGACTACTGTTGCCTTGTGTCCAGAGTGCTCCGAATATCAAAGACCGAAAAGCCTCAGTGGTCGACTGGAACGTATGTTGGGCAGTGACCAGACGTTTTTCTTGGACTTCGGTGCCTCTTGCAGCGATAACAGATGCAGCTTAATACTTGCCGGCGCATCGTTGGCCTGTTGCTGGGTACACCACTTGCCTGAGATTGTTTCCGGATGCATGCCTCGGTGTGTTGCGCAAGGTCAACTGGAACGCGGGGACTTTGTCCTCATTGCTTTGTGTGCACAAAGGAGCTTTTCCCCGTTGCACCTCAGTTCTTCCCGTGCTCACTTGTCAGTAAACAGAATTGCCGCAGTACCATCATCACTCTTACGGTTGTGATGTGAAAGGGTACCTGGAAGACTCGGTCACTCTATACGCAACGCACCTTGACTTGTGAGTTCCACATGCAAGCAAGGCCGGCTTGCTAGCATGCATTGTACTCTCCGCGTCAACGCACACTCATGTCTACAGAAGGTGTTGTTAGGAAAGCTCCTTCTGAGCTTTGAAGCCAAACTTTGCTTGTCTGTCCTGACGGTATCTGCCGGTGCATGAGTAGGGACCCCGGAAACTGGCCCGATTGGGCCGGGCTCCCCGGAGCTAAATAGACGTGATTGATGCTGTCCTTTGGCGGTGAGATGCCCGCCAGGCTTGTACTAGAGTTTTGCGACCTCTGACCGCACCTCCGTCCGCTAGGTTCAGGGAAGACAGATGTTATCCTGGCGCAACTGATATTCATTTGCTCACAAAGTCTCGCGAACCTACCTGCTCTGCCCCAACCTTCTCTTTCGTAAGCTTTCGTGTAAACGCTACGACATTAGAAATCGTTTAGGGTTTCGGGTTTAGGGTTTAGGGTTTAGGGACACGATTTTGCGAGCCAGTCCTTTGCAAAGGTATTCGTCTGTTGCGGGTACATGCTGATGACGTTTGTGCTCTCCCTGCTAGTGGCCAGCTCAGTATCCGACCGAGAGGTTTGCTTTGCAGAGCAGCCCCTGCCAATGCAGGCTTCTCTCTTGGTCTTATTCTGCTTCGAAGGCCGCATGATGGCAACAATGGTACGCATCAAGTGCATCCAGACGTGTCATTCCGCACCAAAGTTGCCGCACCAGGACCGTTTGCTTGCGTTCTGGGCGATGGCTTTCCCCAGGCAGGCATTTCTGCAAACACGCAGAAGGCGCAGAAAGATTGAAAGCTACTCTTGCTCAGTCAGGACATGTCAGTGCTGCCGGCAGCTGCCGCCGCAGCGTAGATGCACCAACGTGGAAATCAATGCTGTGGCAGGCAGGATGCCGGCAGAATTTCGAGACGTCGTGGGCGACTTGTTTGTTTTGCAGGAGACTCATGGAGACTCTAACAGCTACAGCGTTGGATGCAAGACGAGTGCAGTCTTCTTCCAAGAGTCGGAGATTGCACGAATGAGCAAGGGCTCAGGGGTTACAGAACTTGGCGAAAGCAACACACACATACACACCCGCACACACACACACACACACACGCGCGCGCGCGCGAGACCAGTTGGCACTGCTTGCGAAGAAAAAGGCGCCTCCCAGCAATTGCATGCTACTGTGTAACTTTATAATCGGTTGGAACTGCGTGCTTAAGCGAGGTGCCGTGCCATCGATCTGTATTTTGAAAGCAACATACAGTCCATACAGTCTTTGCCAGGAGCGCATTGTTGATCGTGTTGTGGCACACCTGGCAAGAGCCACAACGGGTCGTTCCAGCATCGTCGACCTTGATATTTTGATAGCCCCTCCTGCGAGAGTCGCAATGTGCAGAGTTGTTTTCAGCTGCCGAGGCGGACGTGCGACATTGCTTGCGTGCATGTGTGAAGCGCACGGAGGAGCGCCCAGCTATCCAGGATGTGGCCATGCCGTAGCTCCAGAGGATTGTGGAAGTTTTCGGGTCGACGGGGTGTGTGTAATCGTGAATTTAAATGCTACTTGCCGTGGTGATCGGTTTCTTGAATGGAACTCCAGTGTGCTGTTTGTGGATTCGCTTCCACGGAGTGAGGGTGCACCACCACCGATTGACCCATCAGATTATCCGGAAACAAGGGCGAACCCGCCAGAGCCCCCGAAATCGGCAAACTAATCAATAATCAGCAAGGCTACTTGGAGCTGCCGCCATGGAGCAAGAATTTGACAGGATGTGGCCATCCAGCGTTTGCTGACAGTCTTGGCAGAGATGATTGACGAGAAGACTGCGTATGATATGCGCAAGGCGTGCGGAGGGACATGCCTTTGCGACAGCCCATTTTTTTCTTCGCAGGTGCTAGACCACTTGGACCCCGAGAAGGCGAGCGAACCGAAAGCTAGATTGCAGGGCATCTTCAAGACTCATAGCCATGTTTCCTTCAGATGCAACCAACACTTACTAGCAGTGCTTTTATCGAAAATCCTGCTAGGATATGGCGAAGATCCAGTGGTTGTGCCCTCAGTTCGCAGTCATGACCTGTCATGACCATTTAGTCAGGATACGTTTTGCTTGCAGAGGCAAACAATGTCGATTCAGATACGGAAACACTTTTCTTACAGCATGTCTTCCCAGCACATGATGCTCACTTCACCTGCCATTTATGCAAAGTGATATCCTACAAAGCCCATTTGCCTGAGAAGAGTCTACGACGAGTTTGCATGCTCACCCCTTCCCCAAGACTAACCAATGCTGTTGATCAAAGTCAGCCACGTGTGATTTGGAGTGGTGCGCTGTGTGAGATCAGAAAGTACTCACGTGCGGGCTGAGAAGAGGAAGCACTTCATTCTTTCCAGTGACAGCGACACTTGTGTACAACTTCATGTTCAGCAAAAAGTGCCTGAAGCCAAGGTGGCACCGGGCTCGTGCCCCATATGTTGGTGGAGCATGAGAGACTCAGTCTTCTTTCGCTGAGAAGTGGCTGTAGCATTGTTTCTGGGATCTTGTTCACGCTAGCAGCAGCTGATGTATGAGACGTATCTCTTTCTGCTGCAATTCCAATTGTTTAGCAATAGAATTCGCCGTGCCATTCGGCGGTGCAGCCTAGTTGTTTGTTTCTCGCGGCTTCTGCCCATGTGCCAATTCATTAAAATTCGCACTTTGCGGGACAGCTGAGACTGGCTGAGCATGGCCGAGCATGAAAGGCGTCTCAGAATGGTTATGTGAGTGCCATTGCCCGCTGGGACGCATCAAGTCAATTCAGCTGCAGCATGGTTGGAGCCTCACGACGGCGACGCTCTCAAGTGGCTTAGGACAGGGAAAGATGGCGACCTCTGTCTAAAAATTGTGTCAGCCCCTGAGGCACCAAGGTGGTGATGGAGTTAATGCATACCGCGAACTTTGACACATGGAGTTTTTTTTCAAGGTCACTTCAATGGCGGCAGTGTTTGGACAGGCTCTGGACACTACGTGCAGGTTCTTTGGTGACTTACGTCTTGCTGGCAGGTTGCGGTAGTGCCACATGCCTCTACAGAACCTCTCGGCAGGAGCACAAAAACATACAACAGCCACTACGCTCACCAACATGCACCTCTGTCTACTGTACTCGTGACCAAGCAAGGACATCTCCATCAGATTCTGAATCCGGCTTACCAGAGGCACAGGTATTACAGCTGGCAGTAGCTGACCCAGTGCATGGCACCCCACTTGTATGTGCCGATTCCGGAACTTGTTTCAGACTCAAATGCACCGTGCGCATAGACTGCTCGCGAGTAGGGTCAGGCCAATGGCAGCTCAATTCGAGCAACGAGAAAAGCGAAGATGGATGAGTAGAGGCGCACAGGACAAAGACTTTGCGCCTCCACGCAGGGTCAGAGACTCATCCACAGCTCAATCTGCGCATGATGTTTCGCTGCAGCGCATAGCTGTACTCGGGCGGACCCTGTCTTCATTGTTCTTTGTGCGTGAGCTGAAAGAGAGGCTGGCAAACAAGGCCATCGCTGTTGAAATTGCACTGTTCCCGGCCATGTTTGACCCAGCCCGGAGCATCTACACGCCGCATGCCATTTGCGAATTTACCAGCAGCCAGTTCTGGGCGACATCAGGAGACAGCCACGAGAATGACAGGCTAGCTGCCTTGGAAGTAGCATTTGCTGAAAGATACTTGCATCCTTGGCTAAAGCACGGCAGAGTGACGGAGAACGAGAAGGGCACTGATGGCGACGGCTCGCCTCCTTCTTTTTCTGCGAACAAGGGAGGGATGTTCCAGCTGCTTTTAGACTTTGAGCAAGAGCTACTGGGGAAGGACAGCGGGATCTCGGTAGTTTCTCATTCTAACCTCCAGCTGACTCAGATGTGGTATGACGAGATCACCAAAAAATGGAGCCTGTACAGTGAATTTGTGAAGGGATCGAGGCAGGGAGAATGGTATACTGCACATCAGGTTCCAGACTCATCAACCTTCTATGATCATGTTATCATGGGATTTGACTTGGATCCTAGGGGTGCCCGAAAAGCGAGTTTCAAACAGCTGTTGGAGTCAGCTTTGCCCTTCACCTGCCCAGTGATTCGATGCTTAGCACCTGCCCTTTGCGCAAGTGCCATGACTTGTGTGGTAGAGTTTGGTGGCGAAGACAACATGAACTCCAGCCGAAGTGACGCATGTTTCTACGGGGACAAAGGTGACAATCTTCTGGAGGTGGCTGAACGACTGGAGCCGTCAAACCATTCCGTGGGGCGAGGACTACGGTTTAACGGACGATCAAGTGTCTGGAATTTGACGGCGACGGTCAAGTGGTCCAAGACGGTGCGGAGCTCATTTAACGGTGGCTGGGACAAGAGAAAGGTAGAAGGTGAGCTGGTGGAGGCTTTCCAGGCACTTTCACCGGGACGGTTTGCTGGCTACAAGGGGTTGGTGCCGTGCTTCCACTGGCAGGGTGCTTGGCCTTTGAGCACGCTTGACAACCAACAACCTAGCTGTATTTATGACGCTCAATGCAGCCTTGGCTATGCCTCAGATGCCTTCGTCTTCCTGAATGTCAGCGGTGTTTCAGCCGTGCGCCAGCTGCGGGCATGCAATATCCTTCATCCGTTCAAGAGCGCCAGCGACCTCGCAGACCTCGTGGCGCAACGCTTTGAGGGGAAGCTGCATTCCCGGCTGCCCCAGCGCTCGGAGTGGAGCTTCCGCAGCGAGCGGATCCCAAGCCTCCCTCGAGAGCTGCGCGAGGAATCCTGTTCTTGAAGAGCTCCATTTTGTGTCGTTGAATGTCATTTACCTCGAAAAAACGAAGCTGTAGCATATCAGTATGCATTTTTCATGTCAGACTCTGGTGCAGGCTTTCTCGGATACAGGCCGTACCGACCCTTTGGATGGCCTGGACCACACCTGGCCAACTGCTGTACAGTTGGCGAAGGATGAGTCGCTCGTAATTCGCCAGGCAGACAGCCTGAAGAAATACCGTAAGAGGTAGGGGTGCAGAGTTGGGTTGCTGCATCGTGTGCGTGACTTTTTTATGCTTTCAGTTTGCACCTGCCTGACAACCGTCAGACTCTTTCCATGTCCTACACTTGGGGCACATGCAAGCAGACTATTCACTCCAAGGTTGCCAAGTGTTGGACAGCAATCAGCTGCCTTCAGCAATTTTCAGGATTTTCAGAAGTTTTCAGCTACACATGCTGCACAGTTGACCCTTGTTTATTATAGCCAGAACAGAAGACGCTGGCATAGAGAGAGGACGATCTCACGATGAGCGCGCTTGCGTGTGCAAAAGGGCCTCGAGAGCAGGCTGCAAAAACCGAGATGCACGGCTCGCATGAAAGCAAAGCAGGTTCGATTTCAGCTTCCCGAGACGCCGCGAACCCCAGGGTTCAAACAGCAGTGTTTGCAAAAGAGATGATGCTCAGGCCCAGCACCTCAAGCGGCTGGCCGCGCTGCACGAAGAGTAGAAACGGTTGCTGTGTGGAGCCTTGCGGCCTTGAGCCAAGGATGAAGGATGCCTGGTCCGAGGGTGACAGGCCTTGGATTGGCTTTAGGATTTGAAACATGACACGCACGTCCGGGGGCTTCACGTTTTCTGCAGCCTGGAAGCATGTCTTGACTTCAAACCATCCAAAGAAGCAACAGGCGTGCTAGCTCATGCAGAATGATATCCCAGACTGCTATATCCTGCAGCAACCGAGCAGGTCTCTGTGGCGGTTTCCAAGTAAGCCCGGCTGCATGCCAGAGTACATGCGCACGCAGCTTGGTAACATCGGAATTTGCAGTGTGCATTCATGGACTTTTCCCGGGGGCCCAAGTCCTTTTACACCTGAGGGTAGATCAGGGTAGGGTTGCATTGTTGAATTAGGAATCAGGCTGAAGGGCGACCTGTCTCGTTCCTCAGGAAATTTCGAGTGAAGACGTTCTCGCTGATGACTCTGCAGCTAGGGGTCGTCTTTGCGGAGATGGTGCCTTGCCCTGAATCAGCCTGAATCGGAGTCGGCTCTGGCATGTTGCTTCCAGCTTGCAAGGTTTGCATCGACCACTACCATTTGTGGGACAACGTTCTCAATTCGATGCGTGAGGGACATTTCCTTGACGTTGGACAGGAGGCAGGCAATATCATGGGCCCTGCATCAGGTCTGTAGAGTCTTGAGCGCAAAGTGCGATGGTGTGCATGACCCTGGTGTCATAGCCAAAACTGGTGCAGCCAGGAAGGAGCACCGTCTTTGTGTTGAATGTTTCATCGCACATGCGTGCATGTGCGAACCAACATGCGCCGCGGCTGGCGGTGCCTCTCATGTTCAGCTGCCGGCTGCTCTTACATCATGTTATGTCCACGCGGACTTGCTCCAAGCCTTCCTTGGCTATTGGCGACGAGAGCGGCAGCTTGGCGTCTGCCATGCGGTCGTAGCGAGGCAAGCTCAGGCGGCAGCGGTGTCGGTGTTGGCGTTGTTTACCTCATACACACCGTCGTTGAGTGGAGGCGGAGGGCACTTGGCCGACAGCCTCATACGGCGGCAGCGGCCATCTTTACGGCACCCATCTTCGCTGCCTTTGGGGACTCCAGCGTCGGTTAGTGCAGCCATGCACGCTGAGTTGCCAAACTGTTGACATCTCTCAAACTCCAAGGGGCTTCCTGGGTCCAAAAGCGACAACAATTACCAGTACAAGCCCGACCACCACGTTTCCTGTGACGGTTCACACTTTTCAAAATTCAAGAAAGTCCTAGGGCTTCAAAGCGACGACAGTCGTGACGATCGCGACCCCGCCCCCCACGATCCTTGTGACTGTCCACGTTTGGCAGGTGGAAAATTTTTAAATATTTTTTGAATTTCAACTGTTTAGTCAGTCTTTCTCTGATTATAATTTAAGTTTCAGTCTTTGATAGGTCATCCCCCTAGAAGTTTAGGGATGTGCCGAACAAAGGTATCGGAATATTTGATGATGTTTGTGAAAGCTGACTTACAGCATGCGTGCAAAACAGACAACAAATCTCATTTTGAGACCCAAAGGCTCATGGAATGCTCTAATTGTACTGTGATGGAGGTTTGAATGAGAGGATCATGGCAGGGCATGCTCAGTTCAGGATCTTCCACCGTTGCGTCAGAACCGGTACATGCGGGTCTGGAATGCTGGACGGTGCATAGGTCCAACAAGCTCGGGGTCAAGAATACTAATTCGGGTAATTATGTCAGATGGGAAGGGTCATCATTGCACATATTAGTACGGCAGGGGATTGCATGGCAGGGCACCCGCAGGCCCCAGCACACGAGATAACTTAGATTACAGACTGTCAGTGACACCATTGCAAACACTGGGCTAGCGATATCATACTTTGGTCCACGTGGGGTATTATTTGCGCCGTTGTTGACATTCCACATCATTCCACTACAAACATTGAAACCCCCAAGTAACAGGTTGATACAAGTTGCGGAGTTGCTGGTCCAGCCTGTCACGCTCCCACCATAACGCTCTGTTGATCCAAGCCATGAGTCGAAGAATCCTTGGCGGATTGACCATTTGCTTTCGCGTTTTTTTGGATTATTTTTGGCATGAACACGAATTGACAGCGAGCCACCGCATGCACATGTCCTGTGTCAATTCCGGAAAATTCGGGAAACCAAAAATGAAAAACACGGGCCCGGCTTCTGGAACGCAACGATCTGCTTGAGGAGATCCTTCAAGCAAGAGCCGATGAAATATTGAAGGATCCCACCCGCCCCCATCGATCAAGGGGAGGGGGGCTGTCTAGGATTTCAAATGTATCTAGGGTCGGTGGGGGTTTAGGAAGCTTCGAGCTTTGGCGTGGTGGTTGACTGCAGCACTAGCAGATGATGGGCTTTACGGCCAGGGCCCGAGTGGGTCTAGCAGACCGCTTCCACCTGGTGGCCTCGCAAGAGGAGACTTGCTGTCTGCTCCTTGTTCTGGTCGGACTGCTTGTGCACGAGCTACGACTGCTCTGATCCAGCCGCCTATCTGCGCCATGTCTGTTGGGATCCTGACCTCTGCGGTGCCCAAGGCTTCGCGGCCCAATATGGCATATGTTCTTTCCTCTGCTATGCGCGGATGCACGCAACAGTTCCTGGAGGTCGTCTTGGATCTGCAACTGACATCAGCACTCTGGGTGGAGGTCAAAACTCGGCCCGTTCCACAGAACTATTGTCTAGGGCGGTCCAAAAATACGCCCCATCGACCTTGCAGGGGTATCTGGCTGTCTGGTGCCAGTGGCGCACCTTTTGCGCTTCGTCCGGTGCCTCCCCTGCCTCGCCCCCATCTGGCCTTCTGCCGGACTAGCTTCTGCAAAACGCCAGCCGCCAGGGTCTCGCGACAGGCCCGTGGAAAGCTCTGTCCTGGATGGCGCGCGTGGCCTTTCTTTTCGCCCAACGCAGGGAGGCTCTGCCATTCTCCTTTAGTTTTGTGTGTTGGTTAAAGAGGCGGGTCATGGCAGCTGACACCTCTGTCGCAGACAAGTTTGCTGCGGGCTGCGTGTAATGCGCGATTTGGGGTTCTCTGAGGTGGTCCGACGCCCTGTGGGTTGCCTCCGGTGGGAATTGCTTCCAGAATTAAGCGCACCAAGACCGGCATGTATTGGGGCGCCCTTCTGTCCAGCTTTACTGGTTCTGCCTCCGCGTGTTGGGGATAGTCCTTCTGGTCTGCTCTGTTGCAAGTGCTGCAGCAGACCAAGCCTCAGGACCCTTCCCGTGTTGTGGACTTCTTGTCTGGATCGCCCTCTGCGCCTTGCATGTCCCAGCCTATGCCGCGTAGGCCCGAGGCTATTCCCTGGATCCGTTCCCTCCTTCAAGCCCATTGGTCTTCTGTGTCCTCTGATCCGCTGCTGCCAGCATCTGCTTTGGCGGGCGTTCACAGCGCCAAGGCTAGTGGGCCGGGCAGCTCAATCTGCCAGATTCTCTGCGCAGGATTCAGGGCATGTCAATTGTTCAGAAAGCTTGATGTTGGATTCGTTAGTATTTTAGCGCTTGTACGCAGCAACAAAGGCTGTATATGACAGCGCAAAAAAAGGCTGCCACGCTTAGAAACGGAACTGCGAGCACCTGCAAATGCAGTAAAATGCAGTATTCCAAGGCCACAGGACCTTTGACATGCGGTAGTCGATGGTAGTTCAGGAATGCTGCAATTTCTAAGGTTGCCAGATTCGTTCAGCCTCCCAGGCTTCATGTTTGATCTGGTGGGAGAGACTGCAATCGGCATTGTTTTTGTTACTGCGTCTCGCTTGGAGGCCATTATATCTTTTCAGGAGGCTCAACCTTTGTGAAGTTACGAGGCTCCAAAATCAAGGACAATTACCAGGACCAGGATATACCAGGTTAGCGACCCCACTGCACCCGTCCTCGTCACTTTTGGCATTTCTGAGCCGCAACAAAAAGACGAGGCTCCACAAGCGACGACAGTTACGAAGATCACGACCCCCGGGGCCCCATCGCTGTGACTGTTGGCACTTTTGACACGCGACAGGATTCCGCCAAACCGTTTCGACACGGCCGTTTGATTTTGAGGCATTTTCTTTTTGTTGATGATTGGTCTTTGGTTTTTCTGATTCATTTTTGTGTTTTCATCCCCTACCCACGTATTTGTTCCTGATTAAACTTGAAGGTTTCGCCAATTTCGGGGTGAGAAATCCTGCAACAGTATCGCCGGCGGTGCTTCTTCAAAATTGCCTGGCGGCCCGCGCTGGGGTGGCGCGGTGTGGCCTGAGCTTCATCCGCGATGATTTTTCCTCGCACCAACATGTGGATATTGTTTCGAGCCGCTCCAGGTGGTGCGGTGTTTTTTTTTGCTGTGCGTGCGGGGGATGTGCTGCAGTGGGTGGTGCTTGAATGCATTCCACCTCATGTGTGCTGACTGCGCGTCTGTCAAAAGTACTACTTAGTTGTCTGTGGGCGTTCAGGCTAGTGTTGACACATTTCGGGGAAAAGGAATATTGAACAACCCGCGTATGTGCCCGCGAAGGATGCGACATGGAAAGGTCCGTGGTTGGGTCCGTTGTTTCAAGCATGCATGGGGCTATGCAGACAAATCAAACCACAGCAAACCCATCTCTTGAGTTGTTCCTAGTGTCGTAAAATCATGTGGGTGAGTGTGTGAGTGAGTGAGTGAATAAGCGAGTAAGTGAGCGCGAGAGTGAGTAGCAAAAGGCAGCGGCCGAGCTCCTTGCGTTGACTTTATTTCGATCAATATTTTTTGAAACTGGATCTCAGCGGACTAATGCGGCCTGCGGCTAACTGCTGCTCAACTTCGACAATGCATCAAGTCGCACCAAGAGTTTTCCCTGCGCGAAGACCAAAGACCAGTTTGTCCAGCTGAATAGTTTCGTCTATTTTGCGTTCTTGAAGTTAGACTGACTTGGCTAGTTGTGACAGCATGTGACGGCGCTGATCCCTTTCCGCTCCCTTGTAACGTCATTGGCAGGGTCCTGCTATACCACATCTTGAAAGCTAGTTTGATGGAGCAGGTGCTCTTCTACACCTCCGGTTTTTTCACACTGCTTTCCATCATGGCGTCTTGACTGATTCGGATGCACTCTTGTTTTGTACGTGGTTTCTGAACGCAGTACCAAGGCATTGAGGTAGTGCATGTATCCATTGCCAGCAGTGACGCTTGAGGTGATGTTCTGCGTGAAGGATAGGTACCCCCTGAACTATTGGCATCTAGGCTGCACTTCTTGTCTCTGCAGACGAGACTGAGGAAGCCTATGCCTTCTTTTCTGGTGTTGCGAAGTACCCAACATAAGTTTGCTTGATGTGGTTCCAAGAAGTAAGGTTGATTTTGTTGACAACGTTGCTGTCTGGATCCTTTTGGGGGATGACTCGCGCAGTTGTGCAAACAACTATGCACTTTCAGAAGCTCGGAAGCACAAGTTTTGAGTAACCTGCCTGGCTAAAAAACTAGGCCTGATGCCCTTACTCATGTGGCTTTAAATTCCTACTCCGCTATAGAACAGCAAGTGATTCTGACATGCTCCTGTCAGGCAGCTATTTAGAGGATCAGTCGAAGTACCCTAGCGGAGCTCGGTTTGATGCATGTCAAAAGCCTTCAAACATTGCGACAGGATCGTTGGGATCCTGTGCTGCTCAATGTGTGGGGGAGCTGTGGCTTAGCTCGCAAGTCCAAACTTGTCCGGAAGGTTTTTGTTTCGTACGGAGGGCCTATTTTTTAGTGTCTTTTTGATAAACATTTTTTTCCCCACATACCTGTTGCGTTCTAGTTGTTTGATGTGCTGTCGCCTGCCATGCCTGCGTGCTCTTCCGTCGCGCAAACGTTTTGGCGCCCTTGTTCGCTTCAAAATCGCTCTCTCGCTTGGAGCATCCTCAAAAAATCGGCGTTCTATATTGAAAATAGGTGACTTTGCCTTAAAAGTAGTCTTGGTAGAGGGGTCCCGTATGGAACGGGTCGCGCCCCTGTTTGGGCAAAATTGCGCTCCCGTGCAGGACATCCTCAAAAATTCCAGGTGTTGCTTACCTAACAATGACGCAAGAATTGCGCTCCCGTTCGAGACATTCGCGTTTTTTGCATTATGATTCTCTTTCCATTTCTTCAAAACTCGGGCTCCCGTGCGGAGCATCCTCGAAATTTCGTAGATTTATCCGAATTTGATCAACATGACTTTCCCGTGCAGAGCATTCGGAAAATTTTTGATCATTTATGCACGATGATGTCGAGTTTTTCTATACCAATTCTATACCAAACGAGTCCCGGTGTTCTTCGTTCGAGGTGGTTGTTATCGTCTGGGTTCAAAAGGGCGGTGTTGAGCGGAGGGCTTCGGCATAGCTTTGGTATAGGATTCGTCGACTTCGTCGTTCCAAATCTGAGCGTTGCGTGGATGGATCCTATACTAATTCTATACCAGAATGCTCTGCTGAAGCTCGTCTAGTTGGGACAAATGTGGAAGAAAATCGCGCTTCCGTGCGGAGCATCCTGAAAATTTTGAAGAAAATGGCGCTCCTGTGCGGAGCATCCTTGAAATTTTGATGCAAATCGCGATCCCGTGCGGAGCATCCTGAACATTTTTAATAAAGTTGCGCTCCCGTGCGGAGCATCCTTACAATTTCATCGTTTTTGGTTCAAAATTGCGTTCCCGTGCGGAGTGTCCTTAAAAAATTGATGAAAATTGCCTTCCCGTGCGGAGCATCTTCAATTTTTTCGTTGTTTGTTCATCAAAAATCGCGCTCCCGTGTGGAGCATCCTGAAAATTTTGAGGAAAATTGTGATCCTCAAAATTTCATCGTTCTTTCGTTCAAAATCGCGCTCCCGTGCGGAGCATCCTGAACATTTTTAATAAAGTTGCGCTCCCGTGCGGAGCATCCTTACAATTTCATCGTTTTTGGTTCAAAATTGCGTTCCCGTGCGGAGTGTCCTAAAAAAATTGATGAAAATTGCCTTCCCGTGCGGAGCATCTTCAATTGTTCGTTGTTTGTTCATCAACAATCGCGCTCCCGTGTGGAGCATCCTGAAAATTTTGAGGAAAATTGTGATCCTCAAAATTTCATCGTTCTTTCGTTCAAAATCGCGCTCCCGTGCGGAGCATCCTGAACATTTTTGATAAAGTTGCGCTCCCGTGCGGAGCATCCTTACAATTTCATTGTTTTTGGTTCAAAATTGCGTTCCCGTGCGGAGTGTCCTAAAAAAATTGATGAAAATTACGCTCCCGTGCGGAGCCCTTCCATCGGCCCCTCCTGTTGCTCCTGCTGCACCGG